TAATGTGACGGGCTGAAAGCGACTTGAAACCAAGCCGCCTGAAGGGCGAGGGAGCCTTGCACCCGCGTGGGGCGGCGCGTCTACCGCTGGCAGAAGCCGTCAGACGGCGGCCAGTGACGCGTTCCGCGAAGCCACGCAATTCACCTCCTCCTCCGCCGCCTCCGCGGCCTTGCGTGCCGTCCTCGAGCGCACTGCCTCATCCCTCTAAAGCGCTTTCCTTTTTTTTCTTTCTTCTTTTTTTTCTTTCTTTCGTTTTTTCTTTTTCTTTCTTCGTTTTCTTTTCTTTCTTTCGTTTTTTCTTTAGTTTCTTTTTCTTTCTTTTTTTCTTATATTTTCCTTCTTTTTAATTATTATTTTAAGTCGCGTAAACAACAGAGGTCATGAGCGACTAATACATTAATAAAATGCAGTTACAATTCAGTTAATCTATCAATATTGTTGCAAAACTGTGTTATTATTATTATTATTATTATTATTATTATTATTATTATTATTATTATTATTGTATTTTGGCGAAGTTAAACTTTCATTGAAAATTTCATTTCTCTAGGCACTTGTTTCTTTCTTCCTTGTGGCAGGGCATTCCAGAAGAATGTGCTTTATTGATAGAATAGTGTTGCATATAGTACAAGTAGGTTGTGAAACGTTTTCAATTAACAATTTATGAGAGAATTTAGAATGATTTGACCGATTTTTTGTGGAGCAACTTGTTCTTGACGATTCACTGAGGTATTTGCTACAAATCCAAAAAAATCGTAATATTTTTATTAGTTTGGCTGGTTTTCTTCATTTTCTTTTCTTCTTTTTCTTTCGTTTCTTGATTTCCTTTCTTTCGTTTCTTCAATTTAATGTATATAATAACTCAATCATGCCAACATTTTAAATATTGATTAGTAACTTTTGAAGTACATTTATTGAAAAAATATGTCTAGAATGTAAACTAAAACGTAAAGAAAAAATTATTTTGGGAGATAACGGAATTTGGTGTACAGAAATAGACCTTGAGCTCTGATATAACTTTAAAAAATCTCTTATTGCTTCATTTTTTTCTAATTATAACAGATGACTTGAACTGTTACCTGAACCAAAACGATATTTGTACCATTAGTATTTATATATTTTAAACATATTTTGTCAAAAAATAATTGAAAAATCAAGAAATAAAATTTAAAAAATCAATTTTTCTTCATGAAATAAAAGGTAAAGTGATTAGTTTTCCTTCAAGCAATAGCTACGTATTTCTGAATTATGACAAAAAATAATTAGAGGGTTATGTTACACTGAACTAGAGACACAATGTTTCAGGTTTCCAATAGCAGACAAAAAAGTCAACTTCACGGGGAAGTGGTTTTAAAGTTTATAATGCTGTTCTGCAATTTTTCCTTATATTTTATGTATAAAATATTTATGTATAAAAGATGAATTTATGCTGTTCCCACCAAGTTCGACGGACTACGTTAGTTTTCTACAAAAAGTGATTATGAATACGGCCGGACTAAAGTGGATTGATTTGTCAGTGATCCAGACAATCTTTGCTTTGACTTATTTTAGTAATACTAATTACCGAATAAAGTGAATGCGCGAAATGGTGTTTGTAGTTTATTTTTGGTGGTGTTGTTTGCAAGCTTTTCAGGTCTCTTTCACCTTGTTCCCGGAAACAAGAGATACTTGTCATATTAGTACGGCGCGGTGGGTGTCCTATGGTGAAAGGAAGGGGAATAATGATTGCTAGTGATTCCGGGCGTGTTAATCGCTAAAGTTATTAGTCCTGTAAGTGCAGTGCATGT